TGTCTGTTATCCCATTTTGGCAAATAAAACATTGGTAGTTTGATTTGGAGCTTATATAAACTTTCTCAAGTTCATGATTATTTTCTTACATTTCGAATTTTTAGGACAAAGAGACTGGCTTTCACAGAGGTATGGGTTGGATTCACTTTTCTTCAGAAGAAGAACTTCAGAATGCACTACAACATGACAATCATGTTATTGATGGAGTAAAAGTAAGTATTTTTCTATATATCGTGTACTTACTGTATATCAATTAAATAGGTCAGAAGTGTGAAATGACAGAGATTTGGGGTCATCTTTTAAAGAATGGCGGTGGTAATAGAGTGCCCAGTACTAAAAGGTCTGGGGAGGGAAGTAAGGAAGACTCGGTCATGGGTAGCAAACATATGTAACACCGAGCAGTGGAAACGGCAGCCTATTTATCAGAGGATGAAATCCTAGCTTTTCCACTTATTATGTGGCCTTGGGTCAGACTGATTTACGATTTTTTTAAATAAATGTTTTTATAGATTTTATAGAGAGGAAGGAAGAGGGAGAGATAGATAAAAACACCAATTGGCTGCTTCCTGCATGCCCCCTACTAAGGACTGAGTCCACATGTGCCCTGACTGGGAATCGAACTAGTTGACCTGGTGCATCAGACCACCAACTGAGGCTGGGCTAATTTACAATTTTTAATTGAAATTCAGGGAGTCTTACAAAGAACATCCTCTTGACTTATTGGTGCTGACTTCCTAATAAAAAGGCAGTCTTAAGGGGTTTTTAGTTTTAATGTTTTTGTAGACATTGGCTTTCTTTACAGTGCTTAATTGATTTTTTTTTTTCAGCTCCATGTTCAAGCTCAGAGACCAAAAGTTTTGCAAGGGGATCAAACATCTGATGAAGAGAAAGATTTTTAAGACTATTACTACCTATTACATAAAAGAACAAAACAAAATTTTGTCTAAATGTTTTTATTTGAAACAAATAGGTGCACCAAGCAAGCGCTTACTTTTCCCCACTCCAAATTAAAACAGAGGGGCATACATCATTTGGCAGGACAGTTCCAATAGGTGAACATCCTTCTACTCACTGTGGTTGGGTTAACTTTACTCATAAGCAAGCAGTCATTCTTACACAAAATATTAACCCCAAAGTACTAACGTCACATAAAAGGAAGTGGTCTTAATTTCATTTATGGGGCAGTATGTTTTATAAATGCCAAAAGGTGGGAGAAGCACAAACACAACCCACTCTTTAAAAAAACTAAATAGTTCAAAGTAGAATTTTCCATTCCCCCCTTTCTGCTGTAATAAAAAGTAGTGCTGGGATCTGACCCCAGATTTGGTTTTTATCTGGCCCGTTTACAAAGTGTTTGCCCATATGACTTGCATCATTAGGGTTATGGGTAATAGTCCATTCACTGTGAAGAGGTGTATCTATTCCTTCCTCCTCTTTTTGCCTTCATGCTCATGTTCCTTAGGGCAGCTGCTATCTGAGGGTCTTTTAGAGCCACCGTGCTGTTTGGCTTCTTCCAAGAACTTGTCCAAACCAAAAGGATCTTCCTCAAACTGAACTGGTCCTTCTGCACTCATGCAAACCTTGAAACTGAACTGTTTTCTTGGTACCTGTTGGTCTTTATTCTGGCTTCTAGATCATCACCATACATGTCCTTATCCAGATTTTTACTGGGCCTGTAAATATTCTGGGCCATATCTTTACCACCTCTCCAGGCTTGATCATAAACATTGTAAATTTCATCTTCTCCACCTGCAAAACCACTGTCCATGCCCTGTAGAGAACATTATAAGTATATGTTATAATTTATTAAAAGTTGAATCTGACTACATTCATTTATAGCTCACATTTTCAACAACCTTCATTTGAAAAGTACATAAACTTGTTCATATCACCTTCGTGTTCTTAGCTTAAATTAGGTACTCATTAACAAGTTTGACTAGCAAAGTAGTCATTAAAACTGGGGGACTCTAGTATAAGCAGTTACTTGACAATTTGAATCTGTATAGACATAGTGGCAAAAAGATGAAAGTACCATAAAACATCTGATGCCATTCAGAGTAATAATATGCCCCTTAACTGCTGGAGAACATCATTATCATAGCATGAGATAACAGGGCTCTCAATGAAAATCTTAAGTCAACAAACTTATTCCATATATTTAGAAAAATTTAAATGATTTAAGCCTAAAGTTGTAAAGGGTAACTGTCAAATATTTACTTATGTGGAGCTTTCGTGCCTAACCCCCTTTGCTCAGACTGGTAAAATGCCATTGCATATAGTGTTTAAAAACACAAGCTTTTTGACATCAAGACAGCCCATCAATGAAATCTGAGTTCCATTAGTTATGAGCTAAACCTCTGTGTGTCAGAATTTCTTCATCTTCAAATAGAGGTAATAATAGTGTGACTTCATGGGGTTTTTGTAAGGATTAAATAAGATAATACAAATAAAAGGCTTAGAACAATGCTGGGAATATAATAAGCACCCAGTAACTTATTAACTAAAAGAACTTAATCAAATGCTACCTTCAGATCTTAAAAACTCCCCAGTCATAATTAATCTCCACCCTATATCCCAGTAGAACTTTATACTTTTATATTCTTACCACAGTCTTGTTTTTATTTATATTAATCTTGTCTTTTCCAGTAGACTTTGAGGACAAAGGTGTATCTAGCTCCCCCACCCCCACCCCTTTGCCCCCATATTTTGAGGGCAGGCACCTACCTTGCTTAAAAATTTTTTTTTATTTAATCTTCACTTGATATGTTTTTATTGATTTTTATAGAGAAGAGGAAGGGGTAAGGGTAGGGAGGGGAGAGAAACGAATGAGAGAAAAGTTGATATGGGCCCCAATGGAGGATCAAACCTGCAAACTTTTTTTTTTAATATATATTTCATTGATTTTTTATAGAGAGGAAGGGAGAGGGTTAGAGAGTTAGAAACATCAATGGGAGAGAAACATTGATCAGCTGCCTCCTGCACACCCCATACTGGGTATGTGCCCGCAACCAAGGTACATGCCCTTAACCGGAATTGAACCTGGGACCCTTCAGTCTGCAGGCCAATGCTCTATCCACTAAGCCAAACCGGTTAGGGCAAACCTGCGAACTTTTGGTGTACAGGACAATGCTCCACCTAACTGAGCCACCTGACCAGGGCCAGAGCCAAGTTTTATAACCTAATTTCTTTCCTTTTCCACTAATGTCTCAAATCTTAGCTAACTGTAAAAGGTAAAAATCAGAGCTGTTTCATTTTCTTAAGTTATAATATGCAACTTACAATTTTTTTCTATCATCTGCGTTAGGTTGATCCAAATCTATATGTTCATTTTCTTTTCCCAGAGGTTTGGTATTCATATCAATACTTAAGATAAATCTATGTTTTTTTGTGGGTGTTAACCCTCACCCGAGGATATTTTTCCATTGATTTTTAGAGATTGGAAAGAAGGGAGGGAGAAGGGGAGAAAGAGAGAAACATTGATGTGAGAGAGACACATCATTTACTTGCTTCCTGCACATGCCTCAACCGGGCCAGCGATTGAACCTGCAATCCAGGTACATGCCCTTTGGTGTGCAGGCAACACTCTAACCATCGAGCAACACCAGCCAGAGCAAAATAACGCTATTTCTATTGTACCTTGGATTGGTTGAACAGCCTTTGGTCATACTGAACTTCATTGGAAGTCCGAGGATTGGGCACACCAAGAGCAATGACCTCACTGATATCTCGATTTTCATTTCTCTGCAGTTTCGACCTGTTTCAAAATACAATGTTACTAACTGAAAACTCTTCACAGACAAGCTGAATTTCAATTTTAAAAACATAAGCAATCTCAGAAGCTAAGGAAATGTGTATGTCCTGTTAATATCTCAAACATATATTCCCTGATAACGCATAATTCCCTGATAATGCTGGCAGCCCTTTAACAGCATTTCAGCTAGATGATTACTGGGAGAGATAGGTAGGGTTTTATAATTAAACCCTCCTGTTAGCTGGAAGGAATTGCTAAGAGATTCATTCTTGACACGGAAGTCTTTAATACAAACAAGCACCTTACAATACATGCTGAGATATAAAACTGCTACAGTCTATATTTGCTATTATTAAAAGACGATGGGTAGGACTGGATACAAATTAATTGTATCACACGAATCATTTTCAATAAGCTGGAATCAGGTTTTTTTACATAACCACATTTAGTAATTTTATCCTATTAGAATTTTGAGGAAAACACATCAATGACTAGATTACTCATTATGATTTTCGACATTCAGATTAATTCCCCTGCTGTTTCAGTGTGTAATGCAATCTACACTGCAATGAAACCATGGTAACTGTCGTCATTTATTTTGCTAGAAGCTCAGGTCTTAAAAATGACTTCTATAGACAATCTGATTTCATTAAATCACAAGTTTACAGCTTTCCTATGCTTTCAATTCTCAGCCATTTAAATGGTCCAATTTATGTACAGGGCTATTTTGAATTTTGTAGCTTAGGAATTTCAGACCAAAAGTATATTAACTGCACACTTTCATACTTCATTCCTCTTTCTCCTTCACTATACATTTAACTACAACTCTAAATTCAGATTTTCTGCTTCTCCATGACTTCACTTATCCAGAGAGATGAAATATGCCATTAAACAACGAACACCACCACCAACAGGAATCTTCTTTTTCGTGTTTAAGATATGAATGGGAAAAATGTATCAGCTCTTAGGATGATGAGAGCCTTGAAAACTGCTCATTTGGAAAGAAGATGTTTTATATCTGCATTTAACTCTCATTCAGAATTTTACCTCCATATGACAGCATTTCTTCAACTTTTCAGCAATTTCAGTCCTAAACCTTTGGTGAACCACAGACTTCACCAAACCCTACTTTATTTCAAGTTTGTTCTATACAAGTCTGTACTTATTAAGAGTGCTTTGTCTGTATGTCAACTATATTTTAATTTTAAACAAAGTGCTGTGTCAATTTTCCCAATTCATTTTATTAAAAAAAAATTTTTTTATCTATCATTTTATATAATAGCTCTGCCTTTCTGAATTTTAAGTGAAACTGCTCATGAGAAGCGGCCGATTTTCACTTCTTACAAAACCTGCTTTTCTCCCCCATTGTACTTCATAGAATGCTCTACATGTAAAAGGCCCTCAATAAAGGTATTGTAGCTTATATTTCCTGTCTAAAGGAACCGGCACGTAATAAATTTGTCTCACCATTTGAAATTGGAAAAGAACAGACCAGAACAGTCCTATCCATTACCTTCTTCTCACAAACATGATCTGCATTTCCTTTTCTATATTCCCATCATTCTCAATTCTAGCTGACTCTACAAGGCGATGGAAGAAAAGATTACTTCCATGGATAGTCAATTCTGCTAAGACAAGGTAAGCAGTTAGGTGCAAGAAAATAAGTGCTGATTTATTAAGTCATCAAACTAAGAGAAGAAAATTGGTATTAGTGGACTAAACCTCCTCTCTAAAAGGTTCACAAAGGCCAATTTTCATAATTCATATTTATCTCAAATAGCACCTACCTCTTATCAGGCGCTGCCCTGGAAAGATTCCGGTCATGCTGTCTCTCTTTCCGCCTGTCATGCCGAATTTCATCCCTCTCACGTGCCTCCCCATCCTCTGTGTGGACAGAGTTGAAAATTACTTCACCACTATATTACCAATTAATATTTTAAACAAGGTAATCTTTAACCTTAAATAATTCCATGAACTTCACTGTAGTCACACTCAACCCTTTCAACTTTACTTCCAATTACTTTAAATCCAATAGTATTGGTTTAATTTTGGAATGTGAATCCCAGAATCATGCATGTAACTTAAGTATTTAGGGGTAAGTGTACTGATACTTTTAACTTATTTTAAAAATGCATCAAAGTATTAAGGTGGACTAAAAGATAAAGAGATGGGTAGGTATGTGAGAAAGCAAATTTAGCTATGTTAATTATTAAAAAGAAATTTTAATACAGAATCTAGGTGGTAGAGATAACGGTGTTTGTTTTACAATTCTTTCCACTTTTCTATGTTAGTTAAAATTTTTGTAATAAAATGTTAGGAAGAAGAATTATGTATAAGTTTGTTTTCAAAGTAGAGGGTCCTTTCCCCACTATGTGCTGCTGGGGGTGGAGTCCTTATGATATTTCGAGAAAAAGAATTTTCTGAGAATAAGTGATTTTTATTTGCATCATTTCTAAAGTCATCTTTCCCTCACAGAAGTGTAGCTGGGATTTCAGTAAAGCTAGAAGCAAAGCACTGTACAAAATTTCCTTTCTATGTTGAAGACCAGTCCAGTACAGTATCAGGCTAGTTGCAGTCCATTAATCCATTGTGTGTGGAGGTCCACATGGCCGTGGGCCATGTGGTTTTGTAAAAGCAGGAGAGTGCAGTAACAGAGTCCCACGGGTCCCAAAAACAAAAGATCCTAAGAGAGCGAACTCCTTTGTTAGGGGATTAAATATCCCAAATTTCACACCCTTGCTGTGGCCATGCTCATTTTGGCCAATGATCTTTGTTCTCAGGTGTGAAAGACAGTAAGCAAGTTTCCTAGGTCACCCCAATTTTACTGGGCATGCTTCTATCTCTCCTTTGTTGGCCCCCTGGGGAGTATAAAGTTTTAGCTTTCTGGCGAAGCTGCCCAAATGACATGTCTATAATATCTGGCCTTTTATTTTTCTTCTTTCCTATCTACACTAATAAAAGAGAAAAATGGTAATTGGCGTACGACGCTACCCTTTTCATTGGCTAATCAGGGCTATATGCAAATTAACTGCCAACTCAGATGGCAGTTAACTGACAACAAAGATGGTAGTTAATTTGCATATGTAGGCACAATGCAGGGAGGCAAAAGGGAAAGCAGGAAGAAGCCCCCTGCCACTGACAGTGATCGGAAACCCAGGGGGGAGCTAAGAGCTGGGGGGCAGGGCAAAGGCCACGA